GTCGCCTTACAAACGAGTGTCCTAAAATAAGAACCGTTGGTTTTTTTTTTGGTTTTTTGTTTGTTTTTTTTGGTTTTTTTTTTTGCCGCACACATCCTTCACCTTACACGTAATAAAATGGCGGTCGAATTAAGCAAAAGAAACCGCCGCAGACTACAAATTCAAAACGCTTCTAGGAATGAAATTCAAATGATATACCACACCAAACCACATTCATTCAAATCTTGGATGTATTAAGGATGATAAATATACCAAGTGAAGCGGAGATCAATATAAAATGAATATTATTTCCACAATTTACCACACTAAGAAAGACCACTTACATTTCTGTTGTGACGCCTTGAAGATGGAGTGACGTCACACCTCGCGCAACAAGAAGTGACATCACATTACGCACATCAGCTCCGTTGATGGCGCACTATCGCTTGCGTTCCAGACACAAAGCCTATTGCTTCCGCAATACGTTATATCTGCCACCATTTTACTCAGCGTTTCTTCCGCGGAACTATATACAAGTATTTTTTTGTTTTGAACACATTCTCCCACGATTTTTAGCTAAATTTAATCGTTGATGAGTTGATCAATTTAAATAACGCTCCACACTCAACAGAAGGTCTTATTTTATTAAAATGCATGTAAATTGGGAGGTCAATAGTCTAATTTTCTTGTGTCAACATAGGTGGCGCTATTCAGCACCGGCTGTGGTTGGTTTGCGGCGATAGTTCCGACCACTTTTCCAATAGTTCCACGCACGGTATGTGTCAGATCGGTTGGTTTGCGGCGATCTGCGTCAATGCCTTAATGTTATTAATTACATTGTCTATTTAAGTATATAACTTGATAACGTATACACCATGACAAAATGACGATAGAATGGTCATATTTATGCGTCGTCATTTTCTTATAGGGATAAATTCGAATACTTAATTTAGAGCGTTTACCTCTAATAGTAGAAGTCATATCTTGTAACACTTAAAGCGGGAGGGTCGTCACTTGCGCATGCGTAAGCTGGCCGTAGCGTGTCATTGTTTACAAACAAGCGTCCACCATTGAGCCTTTGCGTTTTTAGTGTGTGTTGTTATCGTCGCTTAGGACTAAATTAGGGCGCGTGTGCAGGTGACGACCCTCTCACTTCAAGACACATTCGTGTATGTAAATTAAACGCACAATACATCGCTGAATTGTACTGTGTTTATGTAACATGGCAGTATAGAGTTGATCATAGGTCAAGCCATGATGAGTGAATGAAGTGGTGTTCTGTTTAACTTACGGAAGCACGCAAATAGCTTTTGGTAATGTTAGATAATGTTCGTTCAATTCCTTAAACCGAACGTATCTCTTGTTTTGTTATGCGCAGTACAACTGCTACAGTTGGTGGCTTATGTTGATAGTAAATTTTAAATTTACACTGTTTAATATATGTGATTTACGACTATAATGAACCTTTCAGTGTTTTTAGTTATTGTCAAACGTATTAATATGTTGCCTCAAATGTAAACCATGTCTATATAATCATGTTTTTACATTGATTTAAATGGCGATTCATTGGATCATCTTAGTTTGCCTAATTTCAGTAACTCTGATATAATCACCGAAACGAAACTGTGATATATGTTTATTTCAAAGACAATATTGACTGGTAGTACAGAAACATTAATATTGTCACAATGTTGCACTATCCGTGCGATGCACAAATTACTTTATCAAAAACATTAATTAAGTATGCACAAATATACAAAATAATTATAGTTTGAACATTGCTGTGTTGTCATTTTGCCTTGTGTCTCGATACACAATCCAGACAACATATGCTCATATCGACGTTATCTATTTGCATAATGAACCTTTAGAAAATATACATATGGTGTTGATGAATATGATTATATTAAATATATAAATACGTTGTTGCTGCGATTTAGTTACTCAACCGAGGACATCTGCGCATTTAAAGTATTCGTGAAGCTCATCAAAGTTTGTATTTAAGATGCAATTCAGTTATTTAGTGTGTCTGTTGGTCCCAGTTATTTGGCTGGCAACAACGGGTGTAAGTATCAACTATACATATTGTTTTTGAATAATAATGTAATTTTGCATTGAGTGGAATAGTTTGTTAATGGTATAACAATAACATTTAAACTTACACCAATTTAAAATCAACACGGCAAATACATGAATGTGCAGATAGTGTTATGTAACCAATTAATAAAAACTTATATTGTTTGTTTGTTTTGCAGCTGGTTACCTGCACTGACGAACTGGGTAAGTAAAATAAGAATATGTATCTCACATAATATAAATGACATTTGTACACCTAATGCCGTGCATGTTACTTACGAACGCGTGCATGTCAAACGCTTTGATTGTAGTGGTTATGCAAATTATGTCTGTGGGAATTTGAAGTATCCAAATATGAGTTTTGGTACAATAAATGCATACATTGCTTATAAAGTCAATCAATGAATCATTAACATACATGCACGAACGTCGTTCTTCTAACTCCGCTATAAATGCAGTGCATTTAGTAGATCAGTTTAAATCATTTTGTGAGTGAGTGAGTGATTTTGAACCAATATTACAAATAAAAAGTACACATTTCAGCAAAATTTAAAATCTGAATAAATGAAAAAAAGATCAAGGGCTGAGATAAATGCAAAAATCTTTCGTGAAAGTTGCGTCGTAGGAAAATCTATTCAAATTAAATCAGGTTTCAAGGCCTATTCAAGTCTCCAAAAAAAGAAACATGTCTTCCCACAAAAAGCAAATAGTCTAACCTGGTTTACAATTTAAAATCCTGAATGTTATCATTCAACATGTCAAAGTATAACATAAATATTCGTTTACACAAATCCTGAAATCCGCCTAGATAATTATTGCTGCTCTGCACCCCACATTGCTTTTTCCTGCCAGTGAATACAATTATTATTCTCTCTCAACTTCGTAAATATATAATATATAATATATAATGTTGGAATAGGATAAAGTCCTAATGTTTACGTTTGTTAATACATCATATAGCATATTTATCACCATTCTTCATTGCATATTGATGCAGTAAAACTTGAAATCGATTTAGCGACAGCAAATTTCATTTTAATCATTTGTAATTATGTCTCTGTCAAAATCCTTTCTAGTTACGACACTTTTAACTTTTGAGATTGGTTCATATTACTCACATAGCTCAAAATATTTTAAACTTTGTTGGTTGTTTTTCTGCAAAAAAAGGGTCTGATATTTGTAATCGTGTATTATGTTCACGTCATCAAGTGTTATATGCAATATGCAGAGACGCTCATAATGTTAGTCATTTTAACTATGAGCAAACATTCTTTCTGAGTAGATGGTTATGTAAATTAGACTTGCGGTTTTTTTTTACAGTTTGCCAGAGACGTTAAAATCTGAATAGCTCGCACAGTTGTTGCTTATTTCGAATGAAACTTTTACACTATGTTTGTCAGTTGTTTGTTAACACATTGGCGTCCAGGCGTTTAGAAAACATTTTTTGTTTTCAATTTGCCGTATGTTCAATCTCTGTCAGTATTTCACACTTCGGACAACATTGTGCGAAAATGCAAAGCTTTAAAAATACGCGCAGACGTCATTTCTTTCGTAAAGACGTCGTCGTGATAATGTTAAGTCAGAGTGACAAAAACTGATATCTAATTAAGTTTCACTCTCTCTGATAAACTAAAAAACACAAATGGAGATAATGACCGTTTTATGAAAGTGACGTTTATCGACCACGAAAATGGCTATTGCAACACGACTAAATGCCAAATCCACCACACACCGACGCTTGCTGATGTTCAATCGTCAAGTAAAAATAAAATTAAAATATTTACAATTTGAGGAAGATGACCTTGTGGTGAAAACTGTCATGATGTCGCATGTTGGATTACATAAAGCCGATGAGATATCCATACGTTTATATAAACATAGCTATCATCATTGGATTGTTTGAGTCTAAATTTATTTTTCTTCTGAAAAATACTATTTGTATGAAGCAGTTTTTCGCGATCCCCGGGGAAATGGAAAATAAACCGTTCGAAGTTCAAAAATATTAAGGACCGTAATATTTTGCTATTTGCTGTTTTTGCTACTCAAACGTTCAAACGCCGGTGGGGAAAACCTTGTGATTCGAGGCAGGTTTCATTAAATTACAGACGACACGGCAGATAAAAATGAGACGAGCCCTGACCTTTCGAAGTACCTCATTCATAGAGTGCCTTAAACTGATAGGGAACTTGGACATAATTGTACGAAGTACGACAATATTTAAATATGTCACGCTCTGACCTAGAATTACTTAGATCACTGAGTCCACGCTTGGAAAATATGTGGTGTTGTGAGGTGCTCGAATCTCGTGTTGTTGTAGATTATTCCAAAAAAATATCAGATAGAGAATGAACTGATGTACGAGTAGCTCCGTATTCGTATACTAATAAATGCCCCAAGCAAAAGTCCCTTTCAATTATTAAAAAGTGTACCTTTTGAATATACGCCGAAGGTATGTAATTATTTTATGAATTGATTGAGTTGGAAATGCTGAATTGTATTTTATGTATTGGACTAAAAGGAATATTGTAATCAAAATAAAACGACCGGATGGAAAGTTAAAACTTCTAGGACGTGATAAAAGTCATTTCCTGGACAATTTATCCATGATGAATATTTATTATCTCAATTGTCCGTATTCAACAAAGCCTTACATACAGCGTCTACGAAAGAGGAAACATTGTGAGAATCAGCAAATGGCTTCGTTGTCCCTTGGGGCATACATTTACGAATATCTCAACTATTTTTAGTTATTTTAATTTAAATCTTTTAATCAATTCAAATGTTACATTTTTCTAGTTATGAATAAAAATAGAAATGTAGAAATGTACAATTTGGTACATTTACCCAATGACACTGTTCAACTACATTAGCTTCCTCCATCTGTTTCCCTGGCTTCGCTACAGAAAATAGGCTCCAGACAATTTTCTATTCGATTTGTCTGCGCTCCAAAATTGAACATTGCCCGTTGATTAGTCACATTTTCAAATTGTTTATTCGCGCCATTCATACGTCGTCATTCGCATAAATTACTGGGAGTTAACAAAATCTCAATCACCGCCACCGCCACCGCTTGATTATACCACACAATAAGTCGAATGTTCATTTTTGTTTTGAATATCTGCATACAACATATATATACAAACTGCACACTACATGTATATGTACGCTCTGCATACCATATGTGTATATACAAACTGCACAACAAATGTATATATACACATTGCACGCCACATGTATATACACATACTGCACACTACATGTATATACACACACAGTACACTACATGTATATACACACACTGCACACTACATGTATATACACACACAGTACACTACATGTATATACACACACTGCACACTACATGTATATACACACACAGTACACTACATGTATATACACACACTTCACACTACATGTATATATATACACAGTACACTACATGTATATACACACACAGTACACTACATGCATATACACACACAGTACACTACATGTATATATACACACAGTACACTACATAAAGTAATTTTTTCTAAATGCTATTTTCACTATATCTCCGTTTTTTCCCGTTTGGTTCAGTGAATGGATGTAGCGATTGTGGAGGTGTATGTCGTGCTCATAAATGCAATAAATGTGAGACAGAATCAGCAATTTGCAGTGCCGATTGTAGAAATGAACGAGTTTGCTGTTTGCCATGTAAGTTTGACGCATGAGTAACTATTTCAATATTCGGATGATATTTGATTGTCCAGATAAATATGAACATCAATGACGATTCTCAAGTTACATAACCCTTGGTGTTTTATTGTACTGAATGCTATAGCTGGTTTCATACGACACGCTTGTTTGTTTTATTGGGTCAGGTGTCGATTGTGCTGATGATTGTGGTGGCAGATGCCGTGCTCATAAATGCGATAGATATGAAAAAGAATACAACTGCTCTAGCTGTGGACGTAATCGGGTGTGCTGTGTGTAAAGTAGGTATTTACGAAATGAAATATATAACTTTGATTATTTGTTCGTAAAAAAATGTGATCAGTTATTATACCATTTGTATAATAAATCAGTTCAATCGCAAATTTTAACAATGCATTCAGCTTTGTAATACACCAAGTCAATCAATCAATCAATCAATCAATGAAAGAAAAACTAAAAACATAGAATTATCATCCTATTTGTAAAAGTGTGTGTAATATCGCTGTGTCCACTTATCTATCTTGCTAGATAGCAATATCTGTCCATTCGATTTCATTCTATGTATTTATTTAGTGGCAAGATGCTTTGCCGTGGTCATATATGTGAACGTTGGCATATGTTCGTAATTTGTGTAGACTTATATTCTTCAAAAGTAGATATTCAAATCGAACACAGTATTCTCCAATAAAGTCTCTTAATTCCATATGGGCGAAGGTAATTTATTTAGTGGCACAAACAAAAGCATTTCCGGTGGTCGAATATATTTAATGTAAAAAAAAGTAATTTTGAGTATATGAAAATGGGCAGAATGAATGTTTGTTGTATTTACAAATGGCCTTTTATTAGTTTATAATTGTCTTGTGTGCCTAGCTTAACACTGATATATGCAGGCGGAGTCACCAAATCAATGAATAATATAATGTTAGATTGATATTGGTGCAAAGGTGTCCACGTATGATACACATCGGAAAATATCGAAACAATTTATAACAGAATTATAATTTAGTCAAACACCCACTGAGAGAAAATAAAATGGGAAACGATGCAATGCTCTACATGCCCAAACAGAACATACTATTGGAAAGCTGAATCAAACTTGCTATCATTTGCTATGCTGTGATTTTGGCAAAATAATAAACCAATATAATAGTAGTCGATTTTTATATGTCCATGACTGACACATAATACAATCATTTAAATAACCATACTTTTTATCGTAAAGTTTGTTACTTCACGTTATGTAGGTAATGATTGCAATACAATTTTGTGTAAATATGAATTCATGACAGCTAAATAAAACTCATAACTAAACTAAGAAATGTAAAATTATTTATTATATTTTGCAGAATGTATTATAGTTATCATACTAAGTTTTAAACCGTATAAATGAAACTTATGAAATATGCCATGTCATTTAAAATGTATTCTTTTCAGATTAAATTTAAATTTGATAAAGGCATCGATGCACTATGCCTATTTAGTGCGTTTTTGATACAACGAGTGTTTGTATTTCAAATGTGAGTTCTTTTTGAGTGCACGCCCCGGAATTAAACATTAATCCATACAAACAGCATTTGTACATAGAAGGTATATTGTCAAATTGTTTTCGAGTGTTTCGAACATGCACTTACATAATTAAATAATATAACACGTTTCAATAGCACTGATTTGTTCGTTCTTATTTTCTATCTACAGATATAAATCGGGATACTGAACCAATGCAACTTCTAAATCTACTGCTTATTGTGTGTCTTATGTAGTTATTATAATTGCTCGCAAAATAAAGAAAAGAAACAATCATAGAACATGAGTCACATGTTTGTTTGTGTTAACTGAGATGTTTATCTTGAGTACAATAAAATTATATAATTTAAGTAACCATGGCGATGTGAGCGTAGCACTGGTAAGGACTAAACGTATATGTAATTATAAAACATCTAATTTGGTGAAACATGGTTCAATTCCTGTATACTGTCAATATTAAATTGAGTATATGTATGTCGAATTTTAGAAATATATAAATATTTCTTCTATGATTACTTGTGTACATATCCCACCAGTTACACAAAATACATTTGTTATAACAATTCTACTAAAGTATATGCAACTGATGATAGTGTGACGATTTCCTCTTCAGCTAATGTAGTAGTAAATCATTGAAATGGATAAACTCATAGTTGCTGTCGACATAGGAAGTAAAGTAAGCAAATAACACCGAATAAACGGCAAGGTAAAGACTATGTCTAATTATAGTAAATACGTACTGCGTGCGTGACTCGAACCGGCGCTCGCGTACGGCACCTAATCGCCTAGCTTCACGCCACTACACGTCTTCCCCTCGGCCACCGGGCATCCCCAAAAAAGGATGCTTAATAACCGAGCTTATTACGTGCAGAGAACGTGAAACCCGTCCACGCGATACGCGCCACACAGCATGGCCAGAATGCGGCAAAGGCCTTCAGATCTGGCTGTAGTAGGATGGTGAAAGTAATGGTACAGCATTTTAACAGTGAATAAGTACTGAGAAATAATTTTTAAACTCATAGTTGCTGTCGACATAGGAAGTAAAGTAAGCAAATAACACCGAATAAACGGCAAGGTAAAGACTATGTCTAATTATAGTAAATACGTACTGCGTGCGTGACTCGAACCGGCGCTCGCGTACGGCACCTAATCGCCTAGCTTCACGCCACTACACGTCTTCCCCTCGGCCACCGGGCATCCCCAAAAAAGGATGCTTAATAACCGAGCTTATTACGTGCAGAGAACGTGAAACCCGTCCACGCGATACGCGCCACACAGCATGGCCAGAATGCGGCAAAGGCCTTCAGATCT